GGGGGGGGGGGGGGTGTACTCATAGCCGTGCATGCCGTAGTCGTGAGACCATTGATCTCGCATCCCTACAAGATGGGGGGGCTTTTTTCTGTTGGGTTGGGTTGGATTGGAGGTTGAGCGGAGTTGCAGGGATTGGAGTCACGGTCGGGTTGTCGCTATCTTGACGAGACTCCATGTGGCTGGTTTTCTCTGCCTCTGCCTCTGCCTCTGCCTCTGCCTCTGCCTCTGTCTCCTTCTCTCCCTCTCTCCCTCTCTCCCTGTCTGTCTGGCTGTCTCTCTCCCTCGATTTGTGAGGCACGGGGGTCCCGCGCAGGGTAGCACTGAGACAGACACGCCAAACCAACGGACGAAGTGACATGAGCACCATATCCTGTCCAACCTTGGCCCTAAAACAGGATATCGTTTCATTTCGTCTCCCAATGTACATAGACGGAGCCATTTTCTGACCAACGCAACTATCTCTGGAGTGGTGGTGGCATGGGCGTTGACATTTCTGGCTTGGTGCTTGTGAGCTACAGTATTTGCTGGTAATCTGCGCTGACATGCCTTGCCTTGACGTGGGAATGAAGGAACTGGGAGCCCCTTGGGGCCTGGGCAATTGGACCCCGGGTTTGCGGCGTGAACACGATTACGAACCCCCCCGCCCGGAAAAAAAAAAGAATAAGAGGATTCAACCGACAGCGGCAGATCGGACGACAGCAGTGTCTTTCCTGATTCTCAAAAAACAACGAGGAGACTCAAAACTGCAAGGCGTGTGTGAGAGGATGTGGGTTGCTTTGCTCTTAACATCGGCCCCGGGCCGACGGGGCTGCTTCAAAGGATTCGTGGATGCGTGTCTTTTGCATTAACATCGACTGCGATGACCAGCTGACCAATATCAAGACGCCAGTCTCGGTGTGGCTGAAAACAGAACGCATCTGAAGGCTACCGTGATCTGGGACCCCATGAGGGGAGCGCCATGGGGGAGGCTAAACAACTTTCAGAAATAAGAGACAGCCAGTAGTAACAGAAGAAAACTGCACGTGTCTACCAAGGCTGCTACTTTGCACGCGCGTTCGTTTCGGAGTGCTTTCACTGTCCTCGTTGTTCTCACTACCGTCCTCGTTCTCACTACGCTCTCGTTGTTCTCACTACCGCTTTCACCGCCAACCGCCACAACATATTTTCGGCTTTATTGGTATGAGGAAGGACATCTGGCTCGAAACCCTTGCCCTGTGCGTGTGCGTGCGCTCACCCCCGTGCAGCCGTAGGAGTCCCCGTTGTACACCACGTAGTACGGCGTGAACTGTGCGCTCTTCCCGAGAGTCTTGACCACCTCCTTGAAGTCACGCTTGAAGGGCTGTATCGTCAAGTACGCCAAGACCCGTTTCGGCCGTCAAAGCACATGCCAAAAAAAAACGACAGCAAAAAGAAAAAAAAGACTTGTACTTTGCATGCCACATGAGACGTTCCGCGAACAAACCAAACAGATCGTCGAAGACGGTGGGGGGGCGGGGGGGGTACTCATAGTCGTGCATGCCGTAGTCGTTAGACCATTGACCTCGCATCCCTACAAAGCCGGGACGGAGCACGCCGGGTTCTCACCGGACCAGGCTCTCACATCACCAAGCGCGAAGCGCCGTGAGATATTCGGCGAGTCGCATGAAGGGTGCGCTGCATTCTGCTAAGGGTGTTCGGCATCTTGTGCTAACTTCCTTGCATGCGGATGACAGCAGCGTATGACATAATTTATTTTCTGGTGCTTTCACTTCCAGAGACAGTTGTAAGCACTGTGTAACTGCCTCGAGGGTGCTTGACCATTTTAACACAACGTGGTGCGATCATCCCCCTTGCGCGGAGTGAGGGTTCTCCACCCCGCACAACATGATCTACTCGACCACCATTATGGTTGCAAAAAAAAAAAAGAGGTAAAAACAAAACGGTAACCTGGTTGCCGAGTTTACGAAGTGAATTGGTTGTTTTACAACGTCGTTGCCAAGCGACGAAAACTCAATCCCAATGGCAAACACCGATGGGGGGC